GTCGTCTGTCTGTAAGGGAGCACGGGCTCTACAGGATGCTGGGGTTGGTAATTATGAAGATAGAACAAAGGGCAAGCTCCTATCGCACGGGTAATACAGTCAAATCGGAATGCCACTCAAAGTATATGAGTGCAGTGAATGTGTATTGCTTGCTTGAAGAACTAAGTCAGGTGGTCTGCTTATGGAACACCCCTGGATTTGGAACAAGGTTTGTCATCAAGGACTTGCCGCTCGCCACCCAACTCACCTATTTCAATCGCTTGCAACTCGACCAATTCTGCTTCAATACTTATCTTCTTTTCTCCATTCAATTGAGAAATGAAAGATGAAGCGATATACTCAGTTGGATTTGCAGAATGCGCTGGCAGAGTATGCAGAAACCGGCTTACTCCGTAGCTCTGCTGAAAATCACGGCATCCCCCCTACTACTCTCTTTAATCGGGTTCGTGGTTCCGAGCCAGCCTCCAAGGCCCAAATTCTTAATCAAAAGCTTTCTCCGGCTATGGAAGAACGCTTAACCGAATGGATTCTATTCCAAGGGTCGCTCGGTCACCCTCCAACCCACGCCCAAATTCGGAAACTAGCTAGAAGAATGCTCGAAGATAACGAGACCCTCGGAAAACGCTGGACTAGCTGGTTTTTGGCTAGAAATCCATCTATTTCTACAATTAGGCCTCGGAGAATCTATGTAAACCGTGCTGATCGAGCCTGTGAGGCCGTTATCCGGCCTTGGTTTGACTATTTGAAGCCTCCAGGCGTGGAGGCTATTCCAGCCAAGCATAGGTATAATATGGATGAAACTTGTTGGATTGGCTATTGTCAGATGGACAAGGGTTGCATGTGGAATAGAGCTCATCCCAGCTGAGCTCTGGTGTGGTCATCCGAGGTGAAAAGAGGCTCAGGGGAGCTGAAATGAAGTGGCCAGTTCAGCTGGTGTGGCTACTTTTGCCACCACCATTGCCACCATTTACAACTATAATAGAGGCCCTCTGGCAGGACCAAAAAGAACAAGGAGGGAGATAAATGAAGAAAGTTGAGGTGCTGAATCCAACAAAACTGGCATTGCTTCTGGCATTGGAGATAACGGCCTGGTTGTTGGATCTAAGGAAAGAAAGAAATTCCAGAAAAAGAAGAAAGGAGACCGAATTTGGACCTCGATTATCGAATGTATTTCCGCTGACGGCCGGTATTTGAACCCAGTCGTCATTTTCAAAGGTGGAAGCCTTCAACAACAATGGTATCCACGCGATTTACAGCCATTTAAGGGCTGGAAGTGGAAACCCACTGAAAACGGCTGGTCTGACGATGATACTGCCGTCGCATGGCTCCGCAATATCTTTCTTCCAGAGACTCGGCCAGCTACCCCCTCGGAGAAGCGCCTCCTTATTTTAGATGGCCACGGTAGTCATACCACCGAAGAATTCATGTGGCTAGCCTTTTCTAATAACGTACAATTGTTATTTCTACCAGCCCACACCTCCCACGTTCTCCAGCCCCTGGATTTATCGGTTTTCGGCCCTCTAAAAGCCCGGTACAGAGCCAAGCATAACGAGGTTGTTTCCGGCTTCGACGAAGGCACTGTTGCTGAAAAGAGGGCCTTCCTAGAATGCTACCGGCAAGCCAGGGTCTATGGAATGACTGAATCTAATATCAAAGCCAGCTGGAAAGCTACAGGCCTCTGGCCAGTCAGCCTCAGGAAGCCCCTAAGCAACGGCCTTGTTATTAAGAATTCTAACGGCGACGTTGGTCAACTGACCTCTACGGTTTCTATAGACCTTCAAGAGGTCCATAACCCCATTCTAAATAAGAATTCGGAGGGCCGGCCTATATGGTTTACCCCTAAAAAGCCGAAGGATTTCCGTATTCAGGGGCAGGTTTTTCTAGCCGGCCAGAAACGGACTGCCAACGACCGACTTTTCATACGCAAGGCCGCAAAAGCCTTCGATTACGTGGTTTTCCAACTAGCCAATACGGCGCATCAATTAGAGGCTGCAGAAAAAAGCCTAGAACGCACAAGAGGCCGAAAGAGAAGGAAGGTCCAAGTCGACCCTAATACGCAGTTCGCTGGAATTGAGGAGGTTCGTGCCTCACAGAGAGAGGCTGGCAGAGAGGATCTTAGTTATTCTGAAAGAGAAGAATCAGGAGAATCCGATACTGAAGATTTCATCATTGTAGCTAATTAATTGACAAAGTTGTTGGCAATTGAAGTTTGTGGTGTTGTGCGGGGTCCGATTCAGGGGCTGTTCCATAGGCAGGGGTGTTCCAAAAGTCTCCCACCTGACTTAAGCAAGAACTATCTAAGACCGTGGCTACGGCCGTCGTATATATCTATCTAAGGTGAGCCAATTAGGTCGTTGCTCTGTTGCTCCCTAGCAGAGCTACAGAGCGTTGCTCCGTTGCTCCCTGGCAGAGCTACAGAGCAACCTCGTAGAGCCAACCAAACCGTTCCTCCGTACCCCACCGCACAGAGCAAATGCGGGTCTCTGCCCCGCATGCCTGTCTCGTCATCCCTATTGGCCGGCCCCACTTTCAGAGCTATGACTAGCCCAGAATGGGCGCGGTTCATCACACTGAGCACTGAGTAGGTGCAGCGTTTCGCACCGCCCTACTTTGGGGTTTCGTAGGTTTCCTCACTGCAACCTAAGCACAGGCTGAGGCTATGTGTATGATTCGAGACTGCCTCTCTGTGACGGGCTAAGTCGACTGAGCCAAAAGCGGAACACGCTGGAAGCGGAACATGCTGTGCAAGCCACTAACGCCACCATTTCCTTCGCGCGCGCACACCGCTTCAGCTGCACAACTTGTTCAATTCGTTTTCAAATTCCTTCTTTTCTACTGCATTCGACGCAGAATTGACTGGGCATTATCATATGTGTGACTACGACAAGGAGTGCGTATTGAATGCGCTCGAAATGGTCGAAAATGGCGTCTCTTTACGCCGGGCCGCCTAGGAAAAGCGGTATGGCATCCCACTTACAACACTTCATCGCCATGGTCGCAGTGCCACAACACGCCGTCTGGCTCACCGCTCGGCACAGATGCTGACAGAGGATCAAGAAGCCCTGCCCAGCTGGCCGTATCGCCCTGATTGCCGAGAAGGAAGAAGAGGTTGGAAAACAAAGGACACAACGTCAATGGACACAGCGCTTTACAGTCAGAGGCTACACTTGTGGGCAAAAAAAGGAAAATGCTTGTGCGTTATTACAAGGCTCGGAAGATGGCTTTGAGGCAGGAAAACTACAAGGTAGCGGACCTAACGATTCAGCTAGCCAAATTCAACAAGAAGAAGGCTGACAGGGCACAACGGGAGCTATTCAAGAAGGTGGCAAAAGGCTTCAGAAGGACGTCGACGTGGCATAAATTTACAAAGTCGCTGTGTTGCGGGCGCAGTTGGAGCTTTCAAAGAAGGCTGCTGTTGTTACTGCGGACCCTAATAAACGGTTTCTTGTAACATGACAAAGATCAAACAGGCGCAGATTGAGGCCGGGGTTACTCAAGAAGGCCCTGTCGACAGGACGCAGTCCTATATTGTTTGCGAGTAGCTTTATTAAATGGTAGTAATTTGAATCTTGATTGTCTCTGGCTTATACGTATATTCTACTTCCAGCATGTCCCGCTTCTAGCGTGTTCCGCTTTTGGCCTAGTTAACTACTTGGTGCTTCTTACGCCCCACTTTGCCCAGCTATCGACGTAATTATAGAAATAAGTATATATGCTAGCAATTTTTATGAAGAACTGTCACGACCAGGGCAAGGCATTGAGGTGAACTCAGTCCATTGGATGCTATCGACGAAGATTCTAAATGTCACGACCAGGGCAAGGCATTGAGGTGAACTCAGTCCATTGGGTGCTATCGACGAAGATTCTAAACTGAGGAGGGAAAGAAGGAAAAGTCCGACAACGCGTCGCGTGCTCGCGAATAAGTTTTCGTCTATCAGTGGGGTAGGTGGGGCCTCGAGGAGGCTTCTGATAGGCCCGGGGGGTCTGGGCGGCTCTGGCTGCTTGAGGGCCAGTTTGGTGGACGGGTCCTCACACCCTCTAGGCTGCTTCCACCCTCGTCGAGGCTGCTTCTACCCTCGAGGCTGCTTCTACCCTCAAAGGCGGTAAAAGTCTCGCTCCGTGCCGAGGCAGCTCAAGCACAGGCAGCTGCCGCCGCTGCCAACGGTGCCGTAGATGGTCTCACAAACGCGATGTCGAGCGCCACATTGGAACAGCAGAATACAGATGCCGGTGACAAAAGCAAGCTAGTACAGATCTACACAGGGCAAGGCGTTAAAGTGCTTTTTATCCCTTTGACCGCGAGAAGACCCCACTCCAGGATTATTCCCGTACCAGACAAGGGTTTGAACCAACTAAAAGTCACGCATTCAACGGTACATCAATTCCCTATCTATTTTGCTGGTGGAATAAGTACCAACAATCGTCCTTGTTACAAAGTGATACATTGCACTGTCGGCAGCCCGACCGGGCACAACAAAGGGCTCGAAGGTCGTGCCGGCCTCGGTGTTAGCCAGCTCATCAGGCAGGTAGGTGCAGCCTCCAACACCCTCGCGCTCGCATGCTGCAGTGCATGCATTAGTAAGGTCATCAGGTAGAACAGCAATAGTAATACAGTCTAGGATTGGGTCGGTTGAGTCCATTTGAAATGTAGTAGAGCGTCAATTACCGCCAAAACAATAGACGCAATGCTTCTCAATGTTTTTATTGTACCTTCGCGTACCCCTGCGATGACAGGGGTAGTGTGGGGTTGATACAACGTGGGGTCTTCTCGCGGTCAAAGGGATAACGTCGTTTGGCTATCTAAGGCTATGAGAAGAGTGTACGGCAATCGGCCCCGGGTATGTAGGGGCAAAGGGGAACAAAGTGTGGTATATTCACACTGGCTAAGAGAGAAGGGATGAGTCATTAGCGGTCAGAGTGGCGAACCTCGCTCCAAACGCCTGTAAATAGAGCCGAGGTGGCGAAAAGACGTTCTGTGTGCAATTACATATGGCCGCGCCGGGCTTTATTGGGGACGGTTATCTAGCTATCCTCGTCGACGGTTGACGTCAATGGGCTCTGGTCGCCGGTGGTACTGGTAGCAGCCTGAGCCGGTTGCTATTGGGGGATAGGGGCGAGAGCCGGGCCGCTGCCGTTTGCTTGCGGCGGCTGTCAGGCATCACTACGGGGCCCACGAGGAGGGCCACCACCGCAACGGGGGGCACTAGGGGCATGGGCACCACGAGCTGGTGCTCGCTGATCTCTAGAGGCTGACCTCCAGTTTTCGCTTTCCATAGCTCGAGACTTGGCAATTGCAGCCGTTTTTCGCACCTCTCGCGATTCTTGTCGCTTTGGCTCCAGCGAGGCAGCAGCCTCTTCGTGACGGGGGGCATTAGGGGCATGGGCACTACGAGTTGGTGCTTGCTGATCTCCAGAGCCTGACCTCCAGTTTCTGCTTTTCATAGCTCGAGACTTGGCAATCCTAGCCGTTTCTCGCGCTTCTCGCAATTCTCGTCGCTTTGGCTCCAGCGAGGCAGCAGCCTCTTTGGCGGCGGCTTCCGCAGCAGCAGCTTCCCTGGCGGCAGGTTCCTTGATAGCATTCTCTTTAGCGATGCGTTTATCTTTCTTTGCCTTTTTATCAGCATGATTCTTGTCTTTGATCGCCTGGATGCGCTTCTCCTCAATTTCTCGGTCCCGTGTTGCTGTGTCGACAGGACGGGCAGCACCGAATGGGCTAGCCTTAGAATCCTTGGCTTCTGTGGCTGGCGCGACCGGGGAGGGCACGGCAGGCATCTCTGAAATAGTCCGCTTGGTGAGATTCAACTTGGGCCTCAACATAGGCAAAGTAGCCGGGTGGCCAGCGGGATAGGGAGGGGCTTCACTACCCTCGCAAGACTGGACGGGAGATTCGCCCGTCAAATCGGGACGCATATTGCTACGCCACTGCGAGTCCTTCTCAGCAGCCGTGGGAACACGCTCAGGGCGGTTGGGACGGTTAGCAAATTTGCGGCGAGGCGGGCGCGAGGTTGACGTCGTCGCCGGGTGGCCTTTGCCTAGGCCCCATTTGGTGGGCGAAGCTCCTCTAGGACCACGAACCGACTCGGAACGGGCGCCATCGTTAGTGCGGAGACGAGAACCATCCCGAGACTCAGGGCGGCGCTTAGCCTGAGGCAATAGAGGCGAAAGCGGTCCGCGTCTCTCCCAGTTGCCAGAGTCTCGGACCTTGCCATTATCGGCTCCTGAGAACTGGCCGGGGGCTCTCTGCTTTCCGAAATCAGACGGACCCCGTCGGTTGCCGCCGCGGTCACCGCCGCGGCTAGGTAAGTCCGTAAGAGGACCCTTGCGTGACCAATCACTGAAATCGCGTGTCGACTCACCACCTCCACTGCTGTACTTGTCCTTGGCACTTCCACTGCCGTACTTATCCTTGACTAAATAAAGACACGCTATTAGATATATTGGAATGTATTTAATAACGCATTGGGTAGACGACTTACGCGGACCAGCAATCTTAATTCTGATGCTTCGTCCTTTGAATGATACGCCATCGCGGGTCAGCGCCTCTTTGAGGCCCTCGAGCTTCTCGAACTCAGCAAATGCGAATCCCTTTGGCTGGTTCTGCTCGCGATCTTCAACCATTTGGACATTGAGAATCTTGTATCCAGAGAAGAAGTCGCTGACGCTCTTGGCAGTGGCGTCGTAGGACAGGTTACCGAGATAAGCCATATATGGTGGCTTATTGGGAAGCGTCTGAGGGACATTATCGCGGATAGAGGAATAGCCTAGATTGAAGGGTCAATAAACCACGTCACAGAAAGGTTATAGGTAGTGACGACTCGGCGAACCTTGTGTGTTTGCGTTATCGTATGAGCCTCTATAGCCACGGCCGCCTGTAGGGAGAGGTTGAGTGCCTGATAGGAGTTAGCGTCTTCTGGCCAAATTCAATTCAGATTACGCCGTATACCAGAACCGGCGTAAACAGAGAGAATACTAAGACGTTGGGGATGCAGCTTACCAATGGTATCCTCGACTTCATCGGCCCACGAACTTCCTCCGTACGCTATTTTGGACGTGGTCAGTTTGACTAATGATGAGGTGTGGTTTGACTGATGATAAGGTGTGGAGGGGGAGACGGCTTGACTGGCCGCCCGCCGAACAATTTGGCAGGCGCCTTGGCGAGGGTGGGAACTCACAAGCATCATTCATAAAGTTGACTAGCGACAACTTCTGGACTTCCTTCTTTTTGGGAGCTAGAGAATCGTGTCAGCTAATAGCGATGTCAAGGAGAAGTTTCAGATTGCAGCCCGAAGGGCGCGCGGGGCTATCCCAAGTACGGGCGGTGGTGCTCACCCATAATTACGGTTTTTAGGTAGACCACGCGCAACAACGGTCAATCGTAACGCGCAACGACGGCCAATCGTAGCGCGTAAGGCAGGCAGAAATCGGTGGGCCGGAGGAGTAAGTCTCGGGACGCTGGGTAGCGTGAGGCGAGTCTTGGGAATCTGCAGTCCAGATGCGGATGCAAATGGCGGGCAGACGGTTGACGGGGAATAAAAGCTATTCGCAGGTTGGTGGGATGTTGGTTCTCAGGTGGTGTTGGAGGTGCGGGCAGAAGCGAAAAGATAAAGTCGAACGAAATAATAAATTAAGGTAGACTTTTTTCTGCTCTATCGGGAAGTGCGGACACCGTGCGAACCCGCACTACCGTTCCAAACAGGCTTAGCTCCGCCCAGGGCAGCCTGAACTCAAGCAGGACTTTCTGTTGCGCACAAAGAAAAATAGCTTAAATTGAAGTGTATATAGTTCTAATCTGTTTTTGGAAAAACAAAAGAGGAAATGATGCACAGGACAGAATTGAAATTAACGCATGGGATGGACCAGACTACCTCAAAGGCTGCTGTTCACTCTGATATCAAAGGCAAGTAATCTCGTATTATGGTGGGGGATTAACGACTGCTGTTCACTCTGATGTCAAAGACAGGTAGTCTTTGTTCTCCAAGACAAGTCATTGTAGGGGATTAACGACCGCTACTATTCACTCCTACATCTTAGGCTGCTATTTACTACATCACAAGTTGCTATTTACTACATCTTAAGGCTGCTGTTCACCTATTTGCATGTCAAAGGCAGGTAATCTTCATTCTCTAAGAACTGAAGTCATAGTGGGGGATTAACAACGCTACTATTTTCTCCTGCATGTCAAAGGCTGCTGTTTACTGCATCTCAGGCTGCTGTTACTGCATCTCAAGGCTGCTGCCCCCTGTTTGCCTCAACGGCTGCTATCCACCTGTTTGAATCCTGTCTGTATCCTGTTTATATCCAAACGCAACTGTGGACGCTGAGTGTCGGTGATGACACATCCCGGGCTGCCTAGAAACCAACGTGAAGCTGATTGTGGGTGATGAGGATCCCGGCTGCCTACGCGAGCAGCTAACACAACACGCCGAGGCAAGATCGAGGCAACAGGGCGGGCACGTAGAGCTGGCTACCAGACAGCAAGACAGGGCAGCGGCGGCCAACCGTAGCAGGGGCGGTTAACCGTAGATGCGGCAGACAAGTCCGAGGCAACTTGCAGACAAAGGCAGACTGTATGCTCCGTTTTGCCCAGCAGTTGCTAGTTATTTCCAGACGTCAACTCTGCTATATATCGCTAATCTTCAAAGACTCAAACTGATATCTTGAGATTATATAGGGGATTAACAACCATGCTGCTCACTGAGAAAGCAAACGGAAGCTGCGTGCCGGTGATGACTCTACAGACTGCCGACTTGAAAACCACGGTGGAAGCTACGAGTAGGTGATGACGGGGAGCAGACAAGGCGGGGTTGCCTCTTGCGTTATTCTACCTCTGCGTTATTCTGCCCGTTGCGTTACTGCCTAGGAGATGGTTATTTCCATGCTCAAGACGCTACGCTTCTATATGTATAGACGTCTCTGCGGTATGTTGGTAATCTTCTAAGGCAAACCGATATTTCCAAGACAAACTGATATCTCGAGATTATAGGGGATTAACGACCATCATCTAGATTTGCTGCTAACTCCTGCTTGCATGCAAACGGAAGCTACGAGGTGGGATGAATCACCGCAGGCAAGCAGATAAGCGGGGCTGGCCTGCGTTATCTCCTACGCGCCCAGGAAAGCTAGTTAAACCAGCAAACCGTATCCACAAATATTCACACTGTAGCCTCGGGGTCAGCTTTTCTTCACTTTGACACCCATAATTTTCTCTTTATCGAGCGTAACAAAATCATTCGGCACATATTTCAACCGCCGACCTATTGATTACTCTTCAACCTCGGGGTCAGCATTTCTTCACTTTGACACCTATAATTTTCTCCTTCTCGAGCGTAACAAAATCATTTTGTACACATTTCAACCGCCGACCTGTCGATTACCCTACAACCTCTCACCTTTTTCCGGCATTGCTCCTCGTCATCTCACATCTCATCTCGCCCTCGCCCGCCGCCCACGGCCTGCCACTGACGCAGAAATCCAGCCAAGAGGGACAGAAAGCAAAAAACGCAGCATGGATCCGGACAAGTCCGTCGTCGGCGATGACAAGTCCGTCGTCAGCGATGACCAGTCCGTCGTCAGCGATGACAAGCCCGTCGTCAGCGATGACCAGTCCGTTGTCAGCGATGACAAGCCCGTCGTCAGCGATTACACGCCTGCCGTCACGCTGGCCGAGCGCAGCCTGGCCGCCGTCGCCGATCACATCAGATCCGGCAAGGCCCACCGCATTGTCGTTATGACGGGCGCCGGCATCTCCACGGCCGCGGGAAGTAAGTACACCTAATTGGGCATCAATTGCCCCTCTCTCGTGGGCTTTGTCCTCGGACTACTCTTTTCTCTCCGGCCTTTATTCTCTTTTCTCTCGTGGCCTTTATCCTCGGACTACTCTCTTCTCTTGTGGCCTTTATCCTCGGACTGCTCTCTTCTCTGGGACTTTGTCCTTGGACTGCTTGCTGATCCGCTAATAGTCCCCGACTTCCGGTCGTCCGAGACGGGCCTGTACGCTCACCTCGCGGCGCTCAATCTGCCCTACCCCGAGGCCGTGTTCGACCTCGACTTTTTCAGAACGAACCCCAAGCCGTTCTACGTGCTGGCTAAGGACTTGTATCCGGGCACCTTCTGCCCCACCATCTCGCACGTCTTTATCGGCCTGCTCGCGTCCAAGGGGCTCCTGGCCCAGCTCTTCACGCAAAACATTGACTGCCTTGAGCGCGCCGCCGGCATCCCCGCTGACCTCATCGTCGAGGCCCACGGCAGCTTCGCCAGCCAACGCTGCATCGACTGCGGGGCGCCATTCCCCGACGACAAGATGCGCGAGCACGTGGCCCGCGCCGAGGTGCCGCGCTGCATCCATAGCCAGGCTAAGGGCTACGGCCGCTACAACCGCTTCGTTTGCAACCGGGCTAGCAGCCACGGCCGCTGCATCGGCCTCTGCGTCGGCCTGGTCAAGCCCGACATTGTCTTCTTCCACAAGGCCCTGCCCGAACTCTTTTACGAGCGCTGGAACCTGGCCGAGACGGCCGACTTCGCCCTAGTCCTCGGCACCAGCCTCTCGGTCAACCCCTTTGCCGCGCTGCCTGACTCAGTGCCCGAGCCCGTGCCGCGAGTGCTGTTCAACTCGGAGCGCGTGGGCTCTCTGGGCACTCGTGCCGACGACGTGTTGGTTCTGGGCGACTGCGACACGGGCGTGCGGAAGCTGGCCGACGCGCTGGGTTGGCGTGACAAACTGGAAACCGAGTGGCGTCAACTGGTGGGAGACCAGGAAGCCGGGCGGCAGTTGCAAGGTATGACGAAACGTGTACGAGACGAGGTGGCCCAACTGGCTAGCCAAGTCGACCAGGTACTGCACTTGGATGACAAAGACAATGATGCTGACAATGAGGTGAACAGTGATGTCCAAGATCCAGGACAAGCAGAACTCCCTAAAGTCTCCGCAGGAGCCAGTCCAGACCACAGGAGCCAGTCCAGAAGTCTCCGCAGGAGCCAGTCCAAGATTGGGCTTAGCATGACCTTCACAGAATCGCCTAAGCATGGCCGTTGGCAACATCTATTTTGACCCTATCGTTCCCATAGCAACTTTTAGCAGCGACGTCACTGCCGCCAACTACTCCCATTCTGCGCTACGGCGTCACATTAGGGGAGCTTTAGGAACATCACCCCTGGGTTTATTTTCTAGGGGCATCATCTACGTCGATTAATAAACTTAGAACGCCAAGGTCCGTCGCCTTTCTGGGTGGGGTAGTACGTTGGTGGAGTATCCCGGAGGAAGATACCCGCCGTCTAGTCTCTATCATAGACCATTATAGCGACGTCTTACCACCCCGAACCGGACGGACCGAAGCGATGCGAATCTCTACCTCGCCGATTGAGGTTTTTACATTTGTTAGCTTATTTGATAGACAGGACGCTGAGGTCATCTGGCCAGCGGAGCGACTTTTTCTACTACTTGTCAGGATGGACACGGAACACTGGTCTTTGAAGGTGCACAAGAATTTGTCGCCCAGATGGAGGCAAGGAAGTCGGCGGGAAATATGAAGTCTCCAACCATGGCCCGTTCAGAGACTATGCCAACAGGGGAGGTATACGATGGTTGTTTCAGATAGAAGACATGGCGAAAAGGAGCACTTGGTAGCTATTCAGGTATCTGCAGACAGAGATAGAAGCGAATCCAGAACTAAATGATATCAAGTGATTCGTTGCAAATTGTGCCAAGCCTCGGTCTGGGAAATTCCCGGCATGTGTCGTAAACAACACGTGAGAACACGCCACATTACGACCTTGAACAAACCCGAATTTTTCTCCGCATGTCCCGTAGTATGCGGTTGTGGATTCTAGCACGACGCTACGCAAACAGCAAGTAGGAGCGTCACTCAGCAAAAAGCTTGTGTGCTCAGCTAAAATTTATACTACTTAGCAAAACTTGTGTACTACAACTTGTGAATTAGGAGTCGAGGCGTAGAGGAAGGTTTGAAAAGTCCAAGGCCAAGAGCGGGTGCCACAGCTTGTGTACTATAGGCATGGGGGTTTGCGGTTGCCTTGGCGGGGGAAGCTAGGAAGGTAAAAAGTCCACAGCGGGTGCCGGTAGCGAACAACTTGGGACTGCTCAGCAAAAAACTTGTGTGCTACTCAGCAAAAGCTTGTGTGCTTGGCTACAACTTGTGTGCTACTCAGCAAAACGTGTGTACTACTCAGCAAAACGTGTGTACTACTCAGCAAAACGTGTGTACTACTTAGCAAACAACTTGTGAATTAGGGGTCGAGGCGCGGAGGAAGGTTTGAAAAGTCCACGCAAGGAGCGGTTGCCGACAGCAAACTGTGTCTACTGGGGGGGCTTCACGCTTGCCCTGGCGGAGAGTGACGTAGAAGCAAAAACTTGTGTACTCCCCAGTTGTGTCTACTCAGCTAAAACTTGTATACCACTCGGCAAAAACTTGTGAATTAGGCAATCGAGGCGCAGAGAAAGATTTGAAAAGTCCACAGCTAAGAGCGGGTGCCAACAAAACAGCTCGTGTACTTCTCAGCAAAAACTTGTGCCGACAAGGCAAGGGGGCTTCGCGCTTGCCATGGCGGGGATTAAGAGCCAGAAAGGCAAAGGTCCACAGCCAAGAGCGTTGCCGGCAGCAAACAACTTTGTACACCGCTGGCACGAATGCAAATCAGTCAAATATAGTACCCTGACTGACTGTATTTGAGGCTCAAACGTGGTTATTTATTTGCAAGAATGCCGTATTTGACTGATTTGTAAATATTTGCCGGCATCTTCCGCTACACCAAAAAGTCCCGAAGCTCGGAAAACTTTATTTCCTTGCCCAATTCTTCAAACACGTGATGGAATTGAAGGTATCGTCGCCTAGGCTATGCCTCTGCGTACCAAAAACCGGTTTTCCGTTACTGAAGCCCCTTTCCGGCTCTGATGACATAGATGGAATAGATATCAAGTCCAAAGCCATCTTTAACAATCGTGGCCAACGGTCCTGACGGACAAACCACCGAGATTTCATGTCTTCAACCTGCCAGACACCCTCTGCAAGGTATTCAGCCAGTTTGTCCTTCAGGTTCGGTCGTCAGGCGGGTCGGGTCGTCAAGCGGGTTGTAGTAGTCATGACCGACAAGAACAGCACCCGGGCCGGTACAAGGCGCCTGTGCCGGGGGGTGCCTGTGCTGGTAATTCCGGCGCCGAGGGAGCCTCGACGGCATACTCCGTCAGGTAGAGGTTGCGGCATTCCCTGTATGCCTTTGAGGACCGCTCCTCTCCCAAGGACCGCTCTTCTCCCAAGAACCTATCCACCCACTTCATTTTGTGCCTCGGGTGTAATATCATGGCCGCCCAGCAATCTGGGCTCTCTTCCGACAATATAGTACATTTTCTGAGCTCCTGAATAGAAAGACCAATGCTTCTACGAAGGAAGAATATGTACCATCCCCCACCCCCCACCCGATCACCCCCCCACCCGATCACCCCTTTTACACCAAAACACTCTTATACTTCCTTATGTGGCAATTACATGACGAAACCCAGTGGCGAAGATTACGCATCATAGATTCCAGCACCTTCTAGGCCATTCCATCTGACAGGTAGCTCTAGCGGCCGCCAAGAGGGAAGAAGGTGGGGTAATGGACGCCGCAAAACTACTATCAATACCATGTTTCAGCACATTTTCAACCACTCGGACGTCGGCGTTCGCATGGTAACCGGCCTCGGCATTATCACAACAGCTAATGGCAGCGTCTAGCTACCTTCCGTCAGGGCCCAGATTCGCATTGTTGCTCCAATCAACCCTGCGGGTGGCTTGGTGGCAGACAACTTGAAGATTCTGATGGACTGGCAGTCGGACGATTTCGTTGTTCAGCCACGGGTCGCGAACATGGACCTCCTGTCTGGTCTTAAGATGCGACAGCACCTCTATTTTGGCACGCCCCCTGGCAATCATGTTCTTCTTGTCTCGCAGAAGAGAGATGCCCTTCTCACTCATCTCCCTGCCCGCTAAGCTGGCTAGCGGAAATACCTAGGTATTTAATCAAGGTATCCCATACGACTTGGCCATCGTTTACAACACATATAGGCCGCGGGAACGGGCAGAAAACCCGGGCTTCAGCGCAATTAGAAAGGCCCTCTTATTTTCCCCAATAACTAGAATCCACCGTCTTGTCGCTGCACCAGCAGGCATATGTTATCGAGGCCTGCTGCCTCGCACTTTGGGCAACGATAGCTCTGGTTTCACATGCACGGTCGTAAGTACACGCTGCAGATGGGCATCCCGAACCTAGCCTGCGAGAGCAAGCCGCTGATGAGGTCGTATGCCAGAGAAAATCATGACAAGTCGCTTTACGAAGCTCTTCGAGGATCACAACCTCGTCCTTGAGACGCAGTTTACCGCGCCGGGTCGATCCACGACTATAGCCTTTGAGCGTGTAGTCTCTTTCATCTGGCAGGAGCGTTCAACGCTATTCCGCGTGCCAGACTTGTAGCAATCTTCTCATTAAAAACAATACCGGATTGGCTCATACGGTTCACAGCCTCATTTTTATACTGCAAGGTGTGTGCAAAGAGGACCCTTTCGTCAATTGCAGCACTCTTGCTTTTTGCCGATCGAGTTTGACACTACGCACCTCCGGTTCGACAGCGAGAATCGCAAATGTTCTCCCCCTCAAGTCACTTGCGGAAGCTGAGTGCATGTCAATTTACACGCCAAACAACCCGAACAATAAAGTAAGAGAGAAGGGGGTGCTTTTGCGCAGGCGAGAGAAGGGAGTCAATTAGCAAGAAGCAGGTAAAGCTGGGCTCTATTTCACAGCGGATTGTTCACGTAACAGCTGGTTAGGCTAGATGGGGAGCGAGAGTTATGAAATTGCTCTTGTTCTGGTTGCTCGTCGGAAACCTTGACCAAACCTTAATAACGTATTATATATATGTGACGAACCCGGTTCGTACTGGACAGTCTGCAAGAGGCGGGTGCTCCCCTTGACCACGCCGCCTCCCTCTTGACCACGCTGCCTCTCCCTTAACCACGCCGCCGAAGCCGCCAGCCGTCGTCTCCTTGACCACGCCGCCAGCCGTCCTCTCCTTGACTACGCTACCGAAGCCTGGAGGCAAAACTTGCTCAATCGCAGCCCGCCATTTAAAGGCCGTCACCAAAGGCGAATATTCCCTAATCTAGGTTTAGTCGAAGCAGGCACCTTAAAACCAACCGCTAACAATGTGTTGGATTGGCTATTGTCAGATAGACAAGGGTTGCATGTGGAATAGAGCTCATCCCAGCTGAGCTCTGGTGTGGTCATCCGAGGTGAAAAGAGGCTCAGGGGAGCTGAAATGAAGTGGCCAGTTCAGCTGGTGTGGCTGCTTTTGCCACCACCATTGCCACCATTTACAACTATAATAGAGGCCCTCTGGCAGGACCAAAAAGAACAAGGAGGACGGATCAAGGAAGAAAGTTGAAGTGCTGAATCCAACACAATGCAGCTCAGAAAGCTCGCTACTCGGTGGCAGCGGCACATCAGATGCGGAAGTGCCCCCGTTTCAACCGACTTCCAGCTGCCTTGGGTACGAAGCAACAGGCCAAATACGTATGCGTTCTCCGTACTGTACATACGGCCAGCAAATTGCGCGCTGCTGAAAGAGAGGGGTTTTCTTGGGCTAGGCCCAGAAGGTTGCCCTTGGTGAGCTATTTTGATGATTGGAGATTCGGGTTTTAATAAGTGTTGACTGCGTAGTAGCCTCTTGAGAGTTGTGTAGTCGTCTTCGGCTTGCGAATCCGCATGATTACGGCTGCGAAACGCTTCGGGTTGTACTATTTCAACTATCAAGAGCAAACCTTGCAACAAACACCCAGCAGCGGCTATGATTCCAACGCTAGGGACTCACCTCGGAATTTCTCACATGTAGTGCAATCGTCTTCAAGTCTAAGCGGCAATCAAGATTGACCGTAGCAACGATATTCCTGATTCGAGTCAGCCTACTGCCTCTTCATTACGGAAAAAAGGTGTGGTCAGTTGATCTAGAAGATATAGATACGGACCTAGCTGAGGTTGCGAGAGGGAAAGAGGCGGAAAAAAAAGATGCCGTCTTCAAAGTCCGATTTCTCAACAGCGAGCAAGAGCGCCGAGGAGAGAAGTAACTACTTTTGTACAGAAATAGGTAGCGAAGGTGAGGATGCGATTTTTTTATAGACAGAGATCTTGTCACGTAGAAATCGACGACTAAAGTCAACTGAGTGCGGGGATGCAGGCCTGTTGCCCTCAATCGTGCGCGCTTGGCCCGGGTTGCTGTTTTACTAGAGAACACAACCGAGAGCAACAGTCTTTATCTGCAGTCTCCGTGTCAAACTCTCGCCGACCAACGAAAAACCCCGTTCCGCAAGCCTTGGATGATGCGAGCTTTGGGGAAGTAGAGAAAGCACCGAGTCGCCCTAAGGTACAATTTGCGACGCAGCGAAGCGAGCAAAGTCGACAAAACAAGATAAAATGTCGGCTTGCCGTGCGAGCCGTGTTCAAAATGTGCACTATCTAAGGTAATTAGGGCATGTTCCTGAGACAAGCAACTTCAAGGTTCCCTTGTCCTCATTGAACTCTCTCTACGTGCTCTGAAGCGCTGAGCCCAAAGGAAAGGTACTTCTCGTTTGCGGGGGTATACTCAACGCTTTGCGGCCAGCGGCTGCTTGCCGGTGGGAAAAAGTTTCTTTTTCCTCGTCTCGCGTGTTATACAACCCCCCCTTTTTCTTTCATTGAGGAATCGTTAAACCTTCCCTCCCCATAACAACTAGGATCGGACTCAATCAGTCTTCGTCCTTGAGCATGCGCATCTAGGCGTCGATGGCGGCGCTGAAGGCGGCGAACCCCGTGCAGCCGACGGCGGCGGCCTGGGGCCCGGCGTTGCGGGCAAGGATAGCGCCCGTGAAGCAGCCGGCAGCGATGCCGTTGCCTATGTTGTCCTTGGCGCGCAGCCCCTCGATGCCGCACTCGACGCGGTTTTATGTTGGTGGTTGTGTTTTAGGCAAGCATCTCAACTAACAACTCCTTAGGTTGTCCACGGTCTTAGTATTTCCCTTGGGAATCTGGGCTAAGTAAATTTGTAGCGGGGTTACCCTGCACACGACTGGGCGCGTGGGCATTAGCCCCGCCCTGGGGATTTTGCCTACACATTTAGTGAGAGATTTCCTCCTCTACGAGTTAGCCAATGCACACATTGTCCACCCACACAGAATCCCCACTCGATAGCCAAGGCGGCGCCGACTACTTGGAGGCCCTAACAAGTTGGAAAGAGATAATTACGGACGGATTCTCGAGTAGTGTGTGTGTGTGTGTGTGTGGTATAACTGTTTAGTCATGATGGAATCTGTATGGGGAAGGGGGGGGCCAGAAACAACCGACACAGAACGTGTGGCGTCGACTAGATCCGTCTTAGCTGGATGGTTAGGCGAGTCCCGGGCGACTCTAATAGGACCAGCGCGAGAAAGACGACAAGGCCGCAGAGGCCGGAAGCCTGAGAGATAAAAGATAGGTCCTCTGCTGGTTGCCAGAAATACTCACGCGACTCCGGTGAGTGCACGCTCGATAGACCCCTTGTGCGGCACGCCTTGAAAATAAGAACTCTTCTACGAAATGCTCCTCGCCGTCAGCTGCATCTACGAATCATGTGGTCAGTCAGCGTTGCATGTCCTAGGGCTAGCAAATACACCCGACACTGTAAAATTCGATCCCTCATAGATTCGTGTCGCAACGGTACTGGGCAACCGAGTGCCCTCTGTCTCATACGCCCGAGCTTTAAGTTTGAGTCATTCTCTTCGAGAAGCCCCCGCGGATGTAGTATATCTCCCTAAATCCCATTACTCTTGCCTTGGGGGATAAGCATGGGATTGCCAAGCAGGGTCCAGGAAGTGGAGTGGAAGACAATGAAAATGAAGAACGACGTAGAAAGGAGAAGAAAATGCAACTAGTCGAGAAGCTTAAACTCGACTCGGTGGTGAAACCCATTCCTTCCGCCAAGGAAAAGGCTTTGGCCAAGATGGTGAACCAGAACAACCGGGCATGGGAACTTGAAGATTTGCCCGTATCTGCCCCAAAAACGAAGCGGTTGGGCTTGACGGAGCAGTTGCCAGTGCGGACTGCGGCGTCGTAGTACCGCTTGCCCCAGTTGTCAGTGAATAGCGTCGCGATTCGCCCGTAAAGTATTCAATTGGTTATGTAGGATTCCGAGTCCAGACTCGTAGCGTGTTTGGGCCAGAGGTGTCTTTGCCTACACCAGCACCGGTCCTGCCCCGGGAGCGTGCACCTTGATAGGCAGCCTGGCTTCCGGGTGTGGGTAATGGGACTTAATTTAGTGGAGGGGTCCAGCAACATGGCGCGCGAGCTACGACTACGACGTGTATATTCCCATCACTACTCGCTGCTGGGTTTTAGGGCTTGCTCAGATGGCCAAGGGCATCATTGGGAACCGCACGCCAGAGACAGAGGAGCTCACCGATCAGAAGTTTGGTAATAGCAACCTTTGTTTATATAATTCGGACCGTCCAAAAGTTTGCAAATCCTTTATTAAATTACTCTGACTTAGCGGCCAGAAGCCTAGCCACAGCAACCCTTGTTCATACGACTCGGACCGTCCAAAACTCTGCAAATCCTTCATTAAATTGCTCTGGCTCTTCACCCAATGATGCCTCGGATACCTCGTCAGCAGTGAAAAGGTAATTAGCAAGTGCCTAAAACAGCTCGGCTGTCATGACTCGGAACGTACCCGTCGAGATAGAGAAGTAAATGGGCGTGTATGTTAGTCTGCCGGTGCTGTCGAGAAAAACTCGCCGTGAACCAGCCAAACTCGCCGAGGAACTTGTAAATGGTTGTGGCGGTCCAGAAGTAAAGAACAATCAAACTTGCTGCTGACGGCGCATCTTCTCTGCCTCCAAGGTCTCGTAGATGAGGTAAAGAGCAGTCTCATTCGGCTCAGCTGTGCCCATGATGGTAAACATCCTCTTGCCGGTTTCGTCATGGGGGGCCTATGCTGTCAGTTAGAGCAAGCAGAGAATGACATGCTGACTAGCCGGCGGGGCAGCTAATGAGCTTGCTTACCCGTGCAACGTAGATATGGGCTCCAGACGTGTTGCGGATTTTACTAATCTTGGAGCCGGCACGTCCAATGATACAGCCAACCATGTCTGACGGGATGCTGATGTTCACCGTCTGGATCTCTTCTCCGTTCTCGTCATGGGTGGGCAGACCACGGGAGGCTGCATCAGAATCAGAACGGCGACTATATGGGCGCTGCCCACCGTTGCTGAAACCGGCGCTGTCACCTGTTTGCGTGATACGAGAGCTGCTGCCACGTCCACCTCCACCGTAGGGCACTCTCTTCTGTGCAAAATTGCTTCCACGGCCAATTGGGCCAGCTGGCGCACTGGGAGTCTGCGCGCGAACAGCAGGATTGTACAAAATAGTGCCAGCGCCGCGCTGCCGATCGTCGACCAGGCACTTGCAGATTTCCCAGACAGCGCGCTGAATGCCTTCAGGAGTGCCCTGGACCTCGACTATCCGCTCGGTCGACTGCGGCAGCATCTCTTTCTGTGCTACCATGTGAACGCCTGATACATCTTGGATGTGCTTGATCTTGAGGCCCCGCCGACCAATGATGCTGCCTATCTGGTGGTGAGAAATGAGTAGGTCGATCTCTGCAACGACAAGTCAGCACCGCCCCATTACATTGATTAAAAAATCGACTGTGGGATGAGCCTTACGGTCAGAGCCATTGCCCTGGATGAATTCTCCCATGCCAATTGACACAGCGCCTTCCAAGAGGGCTCGCGCAACAACCCCATAGGCTCCAGAGATGGCCTCGCAGCCACCTGTAATGGTCAAAACCCGGTGGTGCACGCCCTCCACGACCCTGCTGATACTAGCTCTGACGCCTGTCTCGTCGCGCAAGTCGGCGACACTCTTGCCGCCTTTCCCGATGATGACGCCAGCTTCCTTGGACGATACGATCGCTCTCAGAGTCAACGACGTCTGGGTATACTCTTCGTCTGTCTTTGGTGCAAGCTCTCCATCCGGGTCGAGACGAGGCCTGTTGTCCCCGAGACGAGGCTTGTTGTCCCCGAGACAAGGCTCTTTGTCCCCGAGCTTAGTCTCGTTGTTCCCGAGCTTGAGCTGGTCGAGAGACTCGCTGATATCACCGCCATCGGACGAGATGGGATCCTGAGGTGCCGACATATTGACTTTGGAGAATCGCGCGCGCGATTGGCTACCTGGGCGAGACGTGAGGTTCTGGGTCTACTGGGCCGCTGGATTGAAAACAGTTGGTGGTATGGGTTACTGGACCGCTGGATCGGAAACAGTTGGTGGTATGGGTTAAAAGACGTCTTGTTACGTCTGGGAGAAAGAATTATGGCGCGTCGTGAGAGCCCTGCTGGAGTTAGCTGGGTCTGGGGTTTGGGACTGGAACTGAGGCAAAGAGGTGGGCTGCAGAATTGCATTGGCAACCATGCAGGAAAAAGAGGCAAATAGAGAGCAGAAGGAGAAACGGTGCGCGGTTGAGTTGCGGCCCTGTAGCGGCATTGGCGGGGCACATGTGCACATACCTTTCGCAGATAGTCAGGCGTTGGTCAGGACGGGCGCAATTGGTGGCGGGGCTTTCTGCGTCGCTCGCTTGTAAGAAGATGCCAGCCAAGCCAGGGAGAAGAGGCGCCGCGCCGAAATGGTCTACCCACGGATTCGGAAAGGGGCCGATAATTGACAGAGGGAGAAAGCGCGAGGGAACAGAGAGGAATCTTAGGATTGTGGGATACGGAAGAGTTTAGGTGGAAGGAGAGGGACGAGAGTGGGATACGGAAGGGTTTGGGTAGAGGAGGGGGACGAGAGTGGGATACGGAAGGGTTTGGGTAGAGGAGGGGGACGGTAGTGGGATACGGAGGGGTTTAGGTAGAGGAGGGAGACGGGAATGGGCAATCGGAACTCGGATGGGCCTACGACGTTGGCACTCTCCACTGGGAAGGAAATAGAAGATGATAGAAAGAAGAAAACCCCAGAAAGAAAAGAGGGGTTTCTCGCAAATACGTACTGTTCGGGGTTCTGTGGTGTGCAGTTGAGCGGTGAAGCCAGTCAATTGCCAAGTTTTGGTACCAAAGTCAGCGAGGACGTGGCCAAGCAGACGCGGATTCTCTACCGAGGAAGCAGGCGCCCATGACAGTAGCGCCTTCCCGGCGCGCCCTTCTTATCGGAATGCGAATTTCTCCTTCCAAGTCCGAGTCCTCAGCTCAGGTAAACATCTACCACAGGAAACACAGCAGCCTTTGGCAGGAATCACAACTAGGCTGAGAGAAAAGTGACGTAGACTCTTACAGCAAGCAGATTAAATCGGCAAACTCACCTACGTCAGCTCCCGCTTACCTCTCAGCCCTCTCAGCACCATTTTTACACGGCTTATAAGTCAACTAGGCCAAAAGCGGAACACGCTAGAAGCGGAACATGCCGGTGGCGCTTTTTTCGCCGTGTAAGCCAGAGACAGTCAAGATTCAAATTACTACTATTCAATGAAGCTATTCGCGAACAATACAAGACTGCGTCTCGTCGACAGGGCCTCCCGAGTAGCCCCGGCCTCAATCTGCGCCTGCTTGATCTTCGTAATTGTTACGATCCTGGTTCAAAGGTGCAGAGGGCGCTGCCCGCCCGCTGCGGATTGGCTGGAACGGCACTTAGGGTGGGGCTCTCGCTAAGAGAAGGTGCATCCAATTAGGGAGTGCTCAGTGAGGCCATTGCCAAGGTGCACTGAGCATGGCTGAGCTCAGTAGGATCAGTGCTGAGACCCACTGAGCGCACTGAGCAGGGAGCTCAGTGGGGATCAGTGCGTCTAGGACTGAGCACGACTGAGCATGTAAGGCAGGAACTCTGATTGGTTGCTCATAGTTCTATATAGGAGCTGGCAGCACGCTCTCTCTAGAGAACGGTTCTGCAGCTATCAATGCATCTGGTTAAGCATACATTGGTTGTGTGTTGAAAGCCTGTCTTTCGCAATCTGTGCACGATACTCCTTGTCTCCTGTCATCTCCTACCTGCCGTCCAGACCCCCACAATCCTAGGCCGGGCCTAGCTCCGTGGACCTGTTGTCCAGATTGTAACAGTAATGTCAACAAAGCGTTTATTCGGGTCCGTAGTAACAGCCTTCTTTTTATTCTTTGCAAGCTCCAACTACGCCCGCAACATAGCGACTTCGTGTTAAAATAATGCCAGGTCGAAGTAATGCCAGGTTGACGCCTTTCTGAAGCCTTTTGCGGCCTTCTTGAACAGCTCCCGTTGTGCCCTGTCAGCCTTTTTCTCCATGGTGAATTTGGCTAAGAGGTCCAGGTGCAGGCCCCGGGCCATCTATTGATCAGAGTCTTGTATTCCTTGGATTCTAAGACCATGCCGCTGCTGTCTTGGCCTTTTTGCAGGCCTGTCTCGTCTTTATTCCAACGGTTCTCGGGCTTGATGTCCCTGACGGCAGGAAGGCCGAAATGCTTGAACAAAACCTCCATTATTTCCTTGGTGGCACCGTTGAGCCTCACCGTCTCATGCGACGGCGGGCTTCCAATTGAAGCCATTCCGAGAATTCAGCCGGCTAGGCGCGCTAGGCTTCAGGGGACTCGCTGTCATGTATGGTGATCCGCTGCTTCCACCTATGTAATGTTGTGGCCCAGGTTTTGTCGGAAAAGAGCACCTTTTCCTAGTCTTTAGGGCGAGGGCGTAGGGCACGTTGTTCACGAGCGAAGGAAAGCCGGGCTTGCTTATATCGTTCAGTTAGGTAGATTCGCCGTGGCCGAATTGCTCGTCGGTAGCCAAGGCTCTGCAATGCTGTCTGGATCGCATACTGTCCGTAGGACTCGAAACCTAGTAAAGAGTGCTGTGAATCACACCAAGGCAGTCTTTGTTAGAGCTCGTCAGACAGGAGCAGTTGCCAAAGAGCGTCTTTCAACGGGGTAGAAATTAAGGCTTACGGCCTGAGCGAGTCTTCTGCGGCATAAGCGGTGTTTGTAGGGCGTGACGAACTTGGATGTATATTTTCCCAAGCTTGCAGCTGCATTCTGGTTGTGTGGAATTTTGGTACGTATGAGGTAGGATTTTTGGTAGATAATTTCTAGATTTCTTTTCTTTGTAGTTCTTGTGAGGACCCGTCCACCAAACTGGCCCTCAAGCAGCCAGAGCCGCCCAGAACCCCCGGGCCTATCAGAAGCCTCCTCGAGGCCCCACCTACCCCACTGATAGATGAAAACTTATTCGCGAGCATGCGACGCGTTGTCGGACTTTTCTTTCTTTCCCTCCTCAGTTTAGTGTGAGGACCCGTCCACCAAACTGGCCCTCAAGCAGCCAGAGCCGCCCAGACCCCCCGGGCCTATCAGAAGCCTCCTCGAGGCCCCACCTACCCCACTGATAGACGAAAACTTATTCGCGAGCACGCGACGCGTTGTCGGACTTTTCCTTCTTTCCCTCCTCAGTTTAGAATCTTCGTCGATAGCACCCAATGGACTGAGTTCACCTCAATGCCTTGCCCTGGTCGTGACATTTAGAATCTTCGTCGATAGCATCCAATGGACTGAGTTCACCTCAATGCCTTGCCCTGGTCGTGACAGTTCTTCATAAAAATTGCTAGCATATATACTTATTTCTATAATTACGTCGATAGCTGGGCAAAGTGGGGCGTAAGAAGCACCAAGTAGTTAACTAGGCCAAAAGCGGAACACGCTAGAAGCGGGACATGCTGGAAGTAGAATATACGTATAAGCCAGAGACAATCAAGATTCAAATTACTACCATTTAATAAAGCTACTCGCAAACAATATAGGACTGCGTCCTGTCGACAGGGCCTTCTTGAGTAACCCCGGCCTCAATCTGCGCCTGTTTGATCTTTGTCATGTTACAAGAAACCGTTTATTAGGGTCCGCAGTAACAACAGCAGCCTTCTTTGAAAGCTCCAACTGCGCCCGCAACACAGCGACTTTGTAAATTTATGCCACGTCGACGTCCTTCTGAAGCCTTTTGCCACCTTCTTGAATAGCTCCCGTTGTGCCCTGTCAGCCTTCTTCTTGTTGAATTTGGCTAGCTGAATCGTTAGGTCCGCTACCTTGTAGTTTTCCTGCCTCAAAGCCATCTTCCGAGCCTTGTAATAACGCACAAGCATTTTCCTTTTTTTGCCCACAAGTGTAGCCTCTGACTGTAAAGCGCTGTGTCCATTGACGTTGTGTCCTTTGTTTTCCAACCTCTTCTTCCTTCTCGGCAATCAGGGCGATACGGCCAGCTGGGCAGGGCTTCTTGATCCTCTGTCAGCATCTGTGCCGAGCGGTGAGCCAGACGGCGTGTTGTGGCACTGCGACCATGGCGATGAAGTGTTGTAAGTGGGATGCCATACCGCTTTTCCTAGGCGGCCCGGCGTAAAGAGACGCCATTTTCGACCATTTCGAGCGCATTCAATACGCACTCCTTGTCGTAGTCACACATATGATAATGCCCAGTCAATTCTGCGTCGAATGCAGTAGAAAAGAAGGAATTTGAAAACGAATTGAACAAGTTGTGCAGCTGAAGCGGTGTGCGCGCGCGAAGGAAATGGTGGCGTTAGTGGCTTGCACAGCATGTTCCGCTTCCAGCGTGTTCCGCTTTTGGCTCAGTCGACTTAGCCCGTCACAGAGAGGCAGTCTCGAATCATACACATAGCCTCAGCCTGTGCTTAGGTTGCAGTGAGGAAACCTACGAAACCCCAAAGTAGGGCGGTGCGAAACGCTGCACCTACTCAGTGCTCAGTGTGATGAACCGCGCCCATTCTGGGCTAGTCATAGCTCTGAAAGTGGGGCCGGCCAATAGGGATGACGAGACAGGCATGCGGGGCAGAGACCCGCATTTGCTCTGTGCGGTGGGGTACGGAGGAACGGTTTGGTTGGCTCTACGAGGTTGCTCTGTAGCTCTGCCAGGGAGCAACGGAGCAACGCTCTGTAGCTCTGCTAGGGAGCAACAGAGCAACGACCTAATTGGCTCACCTTAGATAGATATATACGACGGCCGTAGCCACGGTCTTAGATAGTTCTTGCTTAAGTCAGGTGGGAGACTTTTGGAACACCCCTGCCTATGGAACAGCCCCTGAATCGGACCCCGCACAACACCACAAACTTCAATTGCCAACAACTTTGTCAATTAATTAGCTACAATGATGAAATCTTCAGTATCGGATTCTCCTGATTCTTCTCTTT